TTTATTTTGTGAGGAAAGGGACCACATATGTAGGGACGAGTATGGGTAGAGATGCATCAGGTATTTGCTCATAATTGTACCTGGCTTAACAGTGATATATACAAGATTTTAATATTTAATATTTATTTAGGTATTAAAAATTTATATTCGTTACTTAATTTGTTGGGTATAGATTTATTTATATGTATATTTATATACTTATTAAATTTTACACTAAAAATACATAAATTAATATATAACTATAAATTCATACATAAAATACAAGTTTATATATAAAATAAAATATATGAATGTATACATAAGTTTATATATAATAACAAAAGAAATACAAACAAAATTCATATGATTTTCTTTTAATTGAATCTTCACTATAAAAAAAAAGAGAAAAAAACTTAAATATTTTAATTTTATAATTTTATAGTATTATATTTCAAATTAAGCACATAAACTAGAGTATAATCATTATATTATAAATTCTTTTATAATTAAGTAATTTATGTATAAATTGTAAATTGAGTTGATATTTTTATAATTAATTAATGAAGCATTATAAAAATATAATCAAGTATATGGGTTTGGTATATAAGTCAAGTTTATACAATCAAGTATATAGTTTAGGTATATGGGTTAGATATACAGATCAGGCATGTAAGTAAGGTATATAAATAAGATATACAAGTAAAGTATACAGATATTGACTCTCATATCCAATACTTAACTGATACTTAATAAGTATGTATTTTTCACAAGCGATTTATATTATATTTTAATATAATTTTTATATATCATTAAATGAGTGGATGCATTCAATATCGTGAGTTCTACATAAATTAAAAAAATCAATCATTTAACTGACAGAACAAATTATATATAAAAAAAGTAAAAATTGTTATCCAAAAATCAATTTTCCATTTTCATATCCTGTATTTAAATATTATATATATCCGTACCCGATAGTTAGCCCTCAACCTATCTTGACGTCCAAGTCCAAGTATAAAAAGAACTTGTTTTGCATTATTTGTGCATTCCCCCTTGTAAATAGTGAAAATCTTTCTTTCTTGCTGGTCTCTCTTTCTCTCTCTTTTTTTTTTTTTTGGCAACAATTATGTGCATTTCTCCTTGTAAATTGTGAATTATTTAGATC